CGAACCTTGTCAGTGATTCGCGAAAGAATGGGCACACGCTTCACCTGTTGCCACAGCCACTGAAACAATGTCTCTGGGGCTGGTCGATCCGACTGCTTCAAACCATGGAGGATGTAGTTGGTCTTCCTGACAAACTCCGTGAGGTCCTTGGCACTTCTGCCCGCAAGCGTCAACGACAACAAGTGCATCTGATCAAGCGCAACCGAATGAGTCAACCCAGTCTCATAGTACGACGCAACAATGTTCAACAACGCCATTCCTTTTGGACCTTGACTGACTGCAGTACACGCTTCAACATAGGAGGTGAGCTCATGGGCCAAATCCGTGTTGGTGGAGAGGACGTCCTGCTTGATGAGCTCTGCGGCGATGTGCTTGTTGAAAGGGATGAACGACTGGTCATTCTGGAGCGTAGCTCTGAAGGTCCGACCTCGTCCGGCATCCATGCAATGAGAGGTATACTTGAACAACACATCACGCGCAGTGAGATCAATGCGCGACACCGACGCAAGCAATGCAGCACGCCACTCTCTACAAGATGTTGCATCTGTTGGCAACTTGGTGATTGAGATGTTTCTCAAATGCTTGATTTTGTACACGTTGTCTTCGGTTTCACCGTCAAGCAACCAAGATTCAGGAGGGTTGCCTGCCGGCATTCTTGAGCCTTCATCGGATGAACCATCCGAGCTCCTTGATCCTTCACCAGACTCCGATGACTCCTTCTTACGAGGTGTCGCAATGGAGATGTTCGGTGGGTGACTTGATGACGATACACCTGGAGGTGCTTCTGGAATAGTGCCGATGTACCCCCCTGGTGGGTAAGCCGGTCCCATTGAAGCTCTTGGGAACGATGGCATGGCCGGAACGGCCCGTTGAAATCCTACACCAGGAACAGGAGCACTCCCTGACTCTGAAACAGCCTTTGGGGTCGACATTCCATAGACCAACCTGGGATCAACACCAAGATGATGAACATGTGAACCATCATGCAATGCACCACACGGCATGCCATACGGTCCCGGACCGCCAGGGGCTCGAGGAAGAGGAACTTCTGCATGGGATTGTCCTTCATGCGACGCAATGTTCCTTTGCATGTTGACTGGCTCCCTGATGGTCGCGACACTAGAGGGTCGCGTAGGCACTGGGTACATATATCTTTCATGAGAAGATGGTTCAAAAGGGTCCGTACCATTCTCGGGCTCTTCAAGACTACTTTTGCAGTTCCAACACCAACCACGACCAACAACATTTTGATTTCCACACACATGGCAGTAAACAACATTCAATGGCGAGGCTGAAGCAACCGATGGGGCTCTTCCGGCTTCCGACGGACACGCATCAAAATAGCCTGCAACAGGCGAAGCTCGAAGTGCTTCGTTCTCTCGTGCAAGGTCTTGACACCTAGCTTCTGCTGCAGCTGTCACGCGTTGTATCTCGCGTTGTGCTTGTTCTGCTATCTGCTGATGCTTGAGTATTTCGGCTTGTGCCTCTGTTGTGATCTGGTTGATCCTGCTGTGTGCTTGTTGTGCCATGTTGGCTTCTTGTTGTTGTATGTGTTGGTTCATCTGTTGATGTTCAAGGCTCAACTGTAGTGCTGCATTTTGCTGCTCAAGTTGATGTTGTTGTCGTTCATGCTGTATGAATCACCTGTTCTGCATGGTTCAACTGCGACTGAACGTAACCCTGAACAATTCTCTCAAGAGTCTCTGGATCGATGTTGTGTTGGTTGAGTACTTGTAGGTGGTTGAGGGTTCTCTGATCATAAACATGCACCCCAGGAACAGTCGATGGATCACCTTGTACCCCAGAAGGTTGGGAAGGTTCAGAACTCTGGGTCCGCATACGACTCACTGCAACCTTTGTGTTTCCCTTGGCCGGCACGCTCACTTGGAGCCCGGGTCCTCCACCAGTTCCCAAATCACCCTCCATCCTCGCAAGCCCAGTCTCCGGAGAAATGGATGAACTCGAGGTTTCGTAGGAGCCTTCAGGACCGACGACACGAAAGGGAGTTGCAGGAAGCGACCGTTTTGACATCGACTATCCGGTGCAATGCAACGACTCTCAACTCAATCTGTCAACTCAATCTCAACACACTCAAATCTCGACCCGACTCTGTTGAAGGACTCTCAACTAACTACAAATCGTTTGTTCACAAAAGCTCAACACTGTCTCGACACACTGAGCAGCACCACCTCCTCTTTTCACTGCCGGCACGCGACGTTTGTCGCGGAGTTTATTGCCACGCGCTTAGAGCTGCGAATTTCGGGCAGTGGACCGCAAAAGGCGGCGAACGAGTCGCGTCGGTCGCGAGAACGCGACCAGACGCGAAGGTAGCACGACTCTGGCCAACGACAAGAAACAATGTTCAACCACCAACCAATGAAGTGTCCTCAACACAACCAATGTTTGACCACACAAGATCAATGTTGTAGCAACGGCCTCAACCCGACTCGTAGCCTTAGCTGACAGGTTTATTGACCAATGTCACCGAATTCAACAGCAATGTATCGCCAGCCTCAACCCAACACGTAGCTTTTGCAGAAGGGTTTATCGACCAACGATGCAATGCCCACTCTCGACCAATGTACACGCACACCGGTCGTCTCCTCCTCGTCTCACCTGGTTCCGAAGATCCTGCCCAGCTCTCTGGCGGTGGGCAGCTCGCTGGTCCTCGGAAAGGTCCTGAGTGTCCTCTCAAGTGGAACCAAGGCCTCACTCGGATACAATGCAGCACGAATGCAGTGGGTCTTGTGTCCGATCGGCGCGTTCTGCTGGAGGGAGCGCACGTCGTTCAGCAGTGACCCTTGGTCGTCAACGTATACGATCGGGCCAAACTGCGCGACCAACTTCGCTTTGCTTCCAACGTGTCCTGTAATCGATGCCCCTTGCTCGGTGTCTGTAGAAAACTTGGTTCGCGTTATCGCGAAAATGTCAAAAGACCAACCAAGTCGACGCTCAAGCTCTGCGACACCAGCTGCAACTCCTTCCTGAGTGGCCTTATTCGAGGCGAAACTGAGGATTCCGATGGAGAATCCTTTCTCCTTGACCGTTTTCAATGTCTGCACGGTCGCCTCCGCCACCGGTGGGTCGTTGTTCGGAAAGCTGAGGGTTTTATGGAAGTCCAGCAGCACGAGTGGTTTATCTTGCCAGTTCGTCGGCGCACCACGTGGTTCCGGAGGTCTGGATGAGGGAGAAGGCGCCGTCTGCTCTGGCTGCACCGGTCTCTCTTTTGGTCTCGGTGCGAGAACCACTGGTCGGATTTCTTCAGTAAGGCGAGGTTTCGACGATGCACGAGTCAACTGCACAGGAGGAGTTCTCGGTGCCGGAGGTGGAGTCGGCAAGCTCTCAATCTCTCTCTTTCTGGCGGCTTCCGTCTGCTCTATCTCTTCTTTTGTAGGAACAGGCGGCGGAACTGGAAGTTCCTCAAGGGCTCGCTTCAAACCCGATCCAGAAGAGGTTTCACCTTCGCGGTGACGCGAAGGCGTATCTCGACCAATTGCACGCTTCAATGCACCAACCGCTGACTGCTCACGCACAATGTCTCCAGTCTCACTTGACTCCTTTCGTACCTTGGCCTTAGCCGATGTTGCGGTTGGTGGAGGTTTGACACGCTCTTCAACTGGCGGCTTCTCCTCAAACTGTTCCTCGCTCACTGACGGTGAAGGCTTGCTTGCAGATGGCCTAGGGGCCTTGGAGCGGAGCTCACGGGCACGTTCACGAAGTGTCTCCGGTTCCGCCGACACCGAATGCTCTGTGGCCTCCTCGGTTGCCTGCCTCGCGATCGAATCCTCGGTCGCTGAAAAGTCAACACCTGATGCCACTTCCGGCGATGCGCCGGGAACCTCAGGAGCAATGTCACCAACTGCTGCGCGACGAGTCTCACGAGGCTCACCTGTCACCGTGTCAACACTCTCACCTTCAAGCTCCACGTCCTCCTCGGGAACCTCGTCGTCCTGGGACGCTTCTCGATCCCTGCTGTCGTCACGGACAGGGCTCAATCCACCTTCTGGAACCCACACCCAGCACTTTTGCCACCGACCACGAGGCCTCGAACGGGATCTCTCTGTCTGTTCACTCGGCGTCTGCGAACGCCTTCGACGATCACGAGAACGCTCCTCAACCAATGAATCGCCCTCGGACTCCGACACTGGCCTTGGTGGTCGTCTGGTCTCCCAAGTCTCTACGACACCAGGAGGAGGAAACCTTGGTTGTCTTGGGCTCTGCGCCCGATACACCTCCCGCCTTGGAGGATCTTCGCGGGCAGGCCTTCTCTCTCTGCTCTCGCGAGCGTACTCTCGCTCGCGATCATGCCCACGCTCAACCCAAGGATCACGTCGTCGATCGCTTCTCTCTTGTTCTCTGTCTTCTGTCGGCAATCCACGTTCTCTTCTGGACTGCTGACTCGGCCTGTTGGGATCACCACCCCGTGGGCCACGACGACGCCGCGATCGTTCTCGCGGTGGCATGGATCGCGCCCGGAAGCGCGAGGCAACAAGTGTTCGAAAGAAGTTTCAACACAATGCCGATGTTCTCGTTTTGACAAGCCTGTCTCACTCTACGTGTGTGTGTGGTCTCGTAGCCTCTCTGCGGCTGATAACCAGATAAGTTGCTCTTCCCTGGAAGTTCAACACAACGTTCAATCAACCCGTCAACCCGTCGATGCGACGTTTCGATGGCGGGCAACTAACCTTAGTTTTTCCAGTCTTGAGCCAAATCAGGTTGGCGTCCAGTGACACAGTGCAAACGGCAAAGGCGATTACCGATGATGCAAGTCTTTACATGACAATTCCAGTCTTGGATAAGTGCTCCTAGACATCAACTATACATGACGTGTCATCTATACATGAAGTGTGCACCTCACTCAAAGCTCAGTTCTTCTTGAGGGCGTTTCTAGCTGAGGGATTTCTTCTACAATATGTCATATTGTTGTGCATGGAATGTCATCAGTTATGAGTTATGATTCTGATGTGTGTTTCCGTGGGGTAACAATAGCAACGAGTCACCCAACCATTTCCAAGAGGAGGCATTGATGTCATCCTCTGCAAGGTTCTCATACAACACATCCTGTGGATCGGGAGCCATGTACATCCTGAAGGCCTGCACATCTCGAGTGCATTGCCTCGGCTGAGGTGATTCCAGCAGGTTTGGAAGGTTTACCTGAGTCTACCCTTCCAATGTAAATTAAACACTTCAACTGAAACTGAACTTCTGGGACTGTTGGCTGACCTGCAATGGTAGTTGTTTAAAAAAAGAATCCTGTGGTTTCTTCCTTCCGTTCTCCGCTCGATTGTTCTGCGCAAACTTAAAGCCAGTGGCTCTCTGGAGGCCAGTCGTTGTGACAGGATCGTGGTGAATGTTACGAAGCCCGAGGAAGAAGCCACCTGCAACACTTGTCGACGGTCAACGAAACAAGAACGCGTTGGTAGCATCTGTCCCATCTTGGAAAGCCGGATAACCCCACACGTGAAGCTTTCACGATTATGAAAAGTGGGGGCACGGCAGAAGCAACAGGAATGAGAGCAAATGAGTGAATGCCAATGATGAGCAGAGATGTGAGGTAAAATGGTAAACATACGATCGAGTGAGTGAGCGAGCGAGCGAGCGAGTGAGTGAGTGAGTGGGTGGGTGGGTGAGTGCGTGCGTGCGTGCGTGCGTGGGTGCGTGGGGGCGTGGGAGGGCGGGAGCGCGCGAGCGTGGGGGGGGGGGGGGGGGGGGGGGGGGGGGGGGGGTGGGTGGGCGGGTGAAATTGAGCAAACCACCCAACTTTGCCTGGAGCACAGCGCGGGGAAGCGCGAGGACAACCTGTGTGGTGCGAGTGAAATAGTGAAAGTGGATTAGTGCTGAGGAGGCGAGGGCGGGAGGCGGCCAGAATAAACAGTAAAAGTAAGAATCCTACACAAAGATAAGATGTGCAGCCTCACAGAGCAACGCAGGGAAACGCAAGGACAATCAGTGAGTGAAAGTGAGAGAGTGTAGGTGGGTGAGTGTATGAGCTGGGGAGGAGAAGGAGGAGATAAAGGAGGAGGAGGAGGAGGAGGACGGGATGCAAAGTAAAAATCCACGCACAAAGATGTGGGAGACAACCGAAAAAGATTGCAAAAAAGAAAGCGAAAATCTTATTTCCGGGGCCCTTCCCTTCGTTTTTCATCTCTCTTATGGTTTCATGTGTTTACATGTGTTTACATGTGTTTACCATTATGATCCATTATGCATTATGACTGCCTCATTGTAGGCAATAATGATTTCCCTAAAAAGGCTCGAACACATTTCGATCATGTGAACGATCCTTCTTCTAAAGTAGTGGCACTCTTGCTAGCAGTTCGCAGCTCACTCAGCTTACTACTTGCTGCAACTTATCTATCTTACACTCAACTCACTTAATTCTGCTATAACGCGCGTCCCTTTTTTTCAGCCTACCTGGTCCTACCTTTGTGGCTCCAAATCCAAACCCGCAGAGAGGAACAAGTTTCCCTAATAAAAATCTAGGAATCAACTCATTAGTGAGATCGCTTCTTCAAGGAGAAGAAGCGTGAGCTAACCTGCGTCCAGTTACTAGGAGCTTCCCATTGCTAGATATTGCTAGTAGCTTACTTCTCCCATACTTATGTAGTAGAAAGTAGGCGCCGCCTACTTATACTTATTTCAGTAAGGAGGCAAGGCCACGGGCAACTATAGGTTGGAGGCGATATACTTACTTTAGGTTCCTCAAAGGCTTTCTTCTTGGCAAAACGGGTATGTATATTTTAATATGTATTTCTCGTTGTCCTCGCCTTCGTGTCAGGTCTTGGGCCTTGAAGTGCTGCTTCCACTGCCTCCTGTTCTTTGGCCACCCGACTCCTCGGACGACATCTTCTTCGACATGGTCGAATTGTGACCTGTTTGGTCTTGTTCACTAGTAATTATTGTTTCTAATAGCTTCTTGTTACTACTAGTAAGACACTTGTTACTACTAGCGATGCACTTGTTCCTAGTAGCTTCTTGTTACTACTACTTTCTTCCTTTGGTCTTGTTTATTTTCTCTTTCTTCTTTTGCTTGTCTTCTTTCGCATTTTTTAGACGTTTTCCCGTTAGTCTTTCTTCACGAACTTCCTCTCCAGAAAAGCAAGGTTTAAAATATGTTGCATATTGTTACATAGTATATGCATCAAAATGCTCATCTGCTGGCAAGGTACTTGAGATTGGTTACTGCCAACCTTCAGGTTCAAAGCAATGTGCGAAACTGATCCAACAGCTAGCACCAGCAATTTTGCAGAAGGGCTGGCGTGAATGCCCTGCTTGCTCCCAGAGAGAAAACTTCGGAACGATACTGATACAATGTCTGCAACAAATGATTTGACAAAACCTGAGCGATCCACTGGCATCGTTGGACTTCAGTTTCTAGCTCAGCTTTTGAGTCAGACTCCCTCGCCTGAGCACAGCCCTTTGAAGTCAAGAAGCAGAGTCAAGAAAGACTTTGAAGAAGCTCTTAGAGGGCCTCCAACCTAAGAGCGATGGCCTCCAACCTACTAGCAAGGGCCTCCTGAGTACATTCGCTCAAGATGGCAATCAAGTGTAATCACTTGTGCCCCAGCCTTGTTCAGACGACTGGAGGCTACAGCTGCTTCGTATCGGGATGACTCAAGCTGCTTCACCTGAACTTATTGAACAATCGCAGGTTGCAGTACATTCGTCCGAACTGTAGTTTCTACAGTAAGAATCTAAGTATCCCATAGACAATCCTTCCAGTCGTCTTCCAGCCCTTGCATCTTGACACAATACTTCCCACACACAGGAATATTGATCAAACAGATTGCTGCAAAGGTGCCAGCTTCGGCAGGCGTCCTGCAAGATTCATGCAACACACATCAAGGTACCTCTAACGAGAGGCTTGAACTGTCTTTGACACATTTATCAGCATTGAGGACAGTCTGAGGTGCTCCTGTTTTGCGAATGACGTAGGCACGTTCAACTGTATGCGCTGACTCTTCACTGAAGACCTTGCTGGTTGCTCTGTGTCAGACCCAGGGTGTTTGGGGGAATGTTGTTTGATTCTGATGGTTTGACTAATTAATGAACATGCAAAACTGCTATGAACTGCTACAAGTACTGCATAGCCTTCTTGATTGGCAGCCATGCCGGTGTCAAGGTTTAAAGGAACGCCCCAACCAAACTGGGCTATGGTGTTTGGCAGTGCTTTTCTTGCTCAGTCCAAGCAGCTCTGTCAAAATACTCTTTCAATGCGCTATCGGAGCGGTACATTGGAGGAATATTCCGCACCATCACAGTAGTGGATCTGGGTCTGGGCACCGTTGCCAGCCATTGATATCTTCTTTCAGTGAAGCCATCGTGGGCCAAGGTAATCCTCAGAAGTAACACAGGGGTTTCCTTCAAGAGTGTGGAGGCCGCCGCTCTTAGGTTGGAGGCCATCGCTGGTAGGTTTGTTTGGTTTCACTCACTGAAGCATCACAACTCTTTTGAAATCCATCCTGCTGATCTCAGTTGGCAAACCCTCTGATCCAGTCGAATGTCTGCCAGGCGCTGATCAAGACGACAAACCAAACCACTGCCACATGGAACCAAAGCATCCAATCCTCTCTTGGCAAATTGCCAATGTCCAGCCGACTCAACCAATCCAGCCGATTGTGTGATTCTGTGCTTGCCACAAAGTGCACCGGTAATACGACCGCCAAGAGGAATGGGCCAAGGATGGTCATGATGCGCAGATTCAACCGGACAAATTCCTGAACTAATTTGGTTGCAAAAGAACTAGTAGTAACAAGAGGCTATTAGAAACAAGTGCCTTACTAGTAGTAACAAGAAGCTCAAGGAACCAGAGGCTGTACTCAAAAAGCTATTAGAATTAAATTGAATTATATTTCTTGACTTGTTTCTGATAGCTTCTTGTTACTACTAGTAAGGCACTTGTTACTAGTAGCGATGCACTTGTTACTAGTAGCTTAGAATTGAACGTTTGGCACGTGCGGAAAAGTTTGGTCAAGGCACGAGAAGAGACCAGCCATCTAATCCAGCGAGTCGAACCTCGTCTTCAGGCGTGGTGTTCCACACCTTCCATATGAAGTCGATCCATGGAAGCCCCGTTGAAACCTGGCCAAGTCGATTGAAAACAACCAACAAAGTCGACCAATTAAATGTGGGCCTCCAAGTGGTACTCCTTTGCATCTGGGTCTTCCTGTTCACCTGCGTTCAAGATGCTTCTGTGACTGATCTAAAATACATGCACAAATGAAAAACGAGGACAGTGACATATGTGAAAATGGTTCGTGCCGCACTCGCACACTGCACCACTCAAGACTGGCCCACAGTAATGTGAAAGTTCAGACCCAATCGCCACCAAGAGACTTTGCCACCGTCTGTACACTTGCGGAAATGCTACATGAAGAATAGCAAAAGCCAGAATCACTCCTTCGGAACTGCGAAGAACTATATAGTAGCTACTACAAGTAGCTACTGAGTATTACGTAGTCTGCTCGGATGCCATGCAGCAGTGAACATACTACTTGATTGAAGCATCCAAATGGTGGGAATTCTCACAATTTTGCTGCGTAGTTAGAGTCGGTGGAGCTAAATACTAGTAGCGTCCTTGCTCCTAGTAGCGATGCCCTTTGTTACTAGTAGCTTCTTGTTCCTAGTAGTAAGGCCAGGAGTCCCTAATTATCCTTGCTCCTAGTATGCCTAGATTCAATTCCACCTACGTGGACATGGACTCCATGGCTTCACCAGGGCCGTTTGAGCGTTGTTTGGGGCATTCGACTGATGATACCTTGTTGATATGAACATATAATGCTCATAAACATCAGGTTAGGGTGGGCTGGCAATGGCGTTCGGTTGGATCATCATCACCATTTCATCCGCTCCATCGTTCAGTTATTGACTTCATATTTATCTTAATTTCATGAACTTCATCTTCGCTAAATTGCAGCAACTGCAGCTTCGTTTCATTAGCTTCATCTTCGTTGGCGTTAGGACTGTTAGGAGTTTTGCAGCGAGAACTTTGCTTTTAAGTACGTATATAGTGTTCCTAAAGATCTAGGAACCAAACCAACCGTGCGAGCTCTTCTGCAAGGAAGTTCCCCCCGCCCTCAGGCGGGGGGGAGCTTCCTTGAAGAAGCGTGAGCTATACTGTGTCCATATGTAGTAGCTTCCTTGTAGTACTATCTACCGTTCGCTTCTACTAGCTACCGACTCTCTAGCTAACCTACCTCTCTCACCCCTATTAGCGGCCTACCCCAACCCCCCCTTTAATTTGTTGAAAAAAAACCTTCTTTATACGCCCTTGTTGCGAAAACAAAAACCGTGTGGACCCTCTCTAGATTTGGCCTTTGGCCCCTCGCACACCAATCAACAAATTAAGGATTGCATTTTCCTCCTTCGGAAAGCTCACTACGCTTGTTCAGTCCCCCGACAGCGCACTCCTGCTGCACCAAGCCCTCCAACAAAGAGCGAGGTATTCAAGGTTTGAACATCTCGATCACCATTCAAGGCTACTCCCATGACCTCTGCAGGCTCTTCTCCAACGGCTTCATTTCGCTTTGACAAAGGTATCTCGCTACTAGTAGCGTCCTTTGCTCCTAGTAAGGCCAGGAGCCCCTAGTACAAGTAGCGTCCTTGTTCCTAGGCAAGGCATCTCGCCAAGCCTTCCGAGGTTCCTCAAAAATCTCCTTCGCCTTTGGGGGGGTGCGCTGGATTCCTCGGAGGTCGAGCGGTGAAGCAAAAAACATAGTAATAAGATACTCGAACAGCATAGGATGTTTCGGTGCATCTTGAGCCAAGAGTCTCCCGCTCTGCTTCTACCTGAAACGATCTTTCACTGCTTTGAAAACTGCTTGCAAACGTAATCTCTCACTGTCTTCACTTCACTCATCTTCACTCCAAACAGGCCACTGATGGTGCCAATGTGGCTGCTTTGGTTGGTAAAGTCTCATCAGATGAGTTTCCTTCGTGCCTGCATCAGGCATGAAACGGGGGAGACAGCCAGGATAAGCCAGGTCACTGCAGAAAATCTCAACCAGTTTTGGTGCACTGGTTCCTAATAGCTTTGTTGTTACTAATAGCTTCTTGCTCCTAGTAGCAAGGCCAGGAGCCCCTAGTACCCCTAGTAGCGTCCTTGCTCCTAGTAGCGATGCCCTTTGCTCCTAATAGCTTCTTGCTCCTAGTAGCGATTTGGAATCTTGCATGACTTTGGCCTCTGCCAACCGCTACTATGTCTAAATGTCTTGTCTGTCCCTCACCAACTGCGTTGGCCAAACCTCCTGCCTCCGTGGAACTAGAGACTTCCAATCTGAATGTGTGCTTGGCGACTCATTCTTCTGTGGGTACCTATGCCTTGGGCGCTGCGCTTGGTCCAATTCAGGGCAGTGGCACTGGCAAAGGAGACACATTGTGTCAAGATGCAAACTGCTTGGATATGCTCGGAGGGCCTTACTCTTCTGGTCCTTATGGGAGCGAAGCCAACAAACAACACGAAAGTCCATTGAAGACCATGAAAGACCGGGCTGAAGCAACCCTCCAAGGAACCTGAACAAAGCTTCGGTCAATTCCCGCTGAGGCAACCTGCAAGAATCCGGATCTTTCAGGACTGTGCAAGAAAATCACAAAATGATTTCAATGAATTCGTTCTAGTAGCAACGGTCTCCAGCCTAATAGCGATGCTCTCCAACCTAATAGCG